GTCGGAGGAGTACGTAGAGCTGTCTTAGGTGTCTGCGGCAGAACAAAACGTCTTCATTTACACGTACGATCGTTGTTCGATACAACCGACTGGTGTCTATCATAATCTCAGTCGTGTTATATCTCTTCGTAGCCCGACGTTTAGAACCAACTTCTTCCTCCAACGTCCTTAATTCGAAAATCATCGCCTTTCACAAACCATTTCCCGAATCTCTTCAGGTATTTCCCTGTGGCTTTCCCAAAATTCTTGAGAGCAGATCTCTCTTCCTGCACAAGCTCCTCTTTCTCTGCGTCATCCTTGTTGACACCACGCAACGCCCGTCCAGTGTGTACGTTGTGTACGTCAGGTGATGCCACATTTGCGAGCGTAACCTGGTTGATCTCCTTGGTCGTGAGGAGAGCACAGCCGCTAACCTGCAGAAGGGCAGCAATCACCACAGGAAGGATGTAGTTCACGCGCATGGTTCGGTCGGATTCGGCTTTTCGGCTTCTGGGGCTAATTTGTGAGTGGCCAGACGACTTGAATAATGAAATTGACGGCCTCGACTAAACCCTCCTCCTCCCATCTAACACTTGCATAACTATAATCTCAAATCCTCTGCCAGGGCGTTCAGCGCGTGAACGGGGAATACAGGTGGAGGATAATACTAATCGATCGACAAATCTGAAATTAATCATGCTTTGACCCTGCATGACTTGTACGATTTTTGTGATTGGAAAGTTGCGATCGAACTGAACATCCCTCTCTTCAACTCCTAATACGTAGACTGTGGCCGCACGACAATAAACGTGCTCACTGCAATGTTGTAAAAACGTCAAATAGAGAAAAGAAGAGTGCACTGAACGAATGTTTAGTGCATTACACTCATTCTAATAGTAACAATTGTAAGCAAATTATTATAGTAATTAAGTCTATTACTCCGGAGTATTTAATACCATAAATATATATACTGTATTATGAAAATTCCTAGGAACGTTTAACATCAACATTGCAACGTTGCCGTGGTTACGGTTTCCACTGGCTGTGCGTAATCCTATGGATTTACTTATCTCTAATAAAGACGGAGCAAACGTGTAACACCCATATGGAAAATTTCGAAGTCTTCAGTCGTTGCGAGATTCATGCAAGCTGGAGCATTTAGAACTGTATGCCATGTTCATTAATGAATGTCCCAAATGATCAGTAAAAGCGGAAACTAAACATATGATAGGCATCTCGAAATGGCAACGGTTTTCGTGTGATCGAACTAATCCTTTCATATTTTCCAGACAAGATCAAACCCTTCCTCCTAAATCACCTGAGCAAGGTGTTATCAGTGATAACACCTAGCTCTGGTGATTACCTGCCTACCTTCTAACCGTGCTAACTTATCACGGATAGAAGGTAGGTTTCAGCAGCCAATCAAATCAAATCTGTCCTTTTCAACTCGAACCTTACTCCAAAAACAATTTGGAAGAAAGATGAAGGTTTGATATGATTGGCAAAAAGAAAACGCCGAAGGTTTGATTTGATTGGCCGCAACGGAAGCTCAACAGTATCACAAAAGTACATGCAAACGGTAGCGGTGATGTTTCACGTGGAACCGGCGCAAGGGATACGTGATGCTAGCTACTACCACGGTGAAGTGGGTGCTGCCTAACTATATGCAGTCACTACAGCTACCAGCACCTCCAAACCACTGGGTAGGAAGGGTGGGTCGGCGAAGTATAAATGTTGAAACTACTTGTACGTGGAGGAAAGGTCTCTAGTCATCAGTGCCCTTCAAATAACAACCAATAATAATACACCAAGTGCTTTTCTGCACATTCTGTGGCGCTCAGTCAGGCGCTCTAGCACTCACATACAAAACGTGAAGGTTTGATTTGATTGGCTGCCCAAACATTCCAAACGTGACAACCCCTTATTACATCGGTATGCTGTGAACATACTCGCAAAGACGTGTCTGCACTGGGAACGAACAGAGCAACCTTCTCCAGTGGGGAAAATGTACAAAGGTGTACGAATTTGGTTGGAATGTGCCAAATGTGTAGCAAACCAGATTGCACAATCAGCCAATACTGGAGAGGAAAAATCTCCAAAGGTGTATGAATTCGGCCGGTATGTGCTGAAGGTCTAAAATTGTGTCCATATGTGTGTGCGGTATCCATATGATATTTTTGTAGGAGGTATGAGTTCTTTTTAGACCACGACTGGACATGTGTCGGCTTTCACGACGATCTCATGGTAGGGTGACTCTCTATTTATTAATAGTGCTTCTGGCGAGGAGCGGTGGCACCTCTGA